TTTGCCAAACAATTTCGTAGAGTATTCCCACTGGGACTCAGTCTTTCAGAGAATAAATTGGTGAAATTAACTTTTCTTATCAGTCTATGGGATTTGAAAGAAGCAAGGTTTTCTGCCAACACACAGTGGAAAGAAACAATATCAGCTAAATTGTCTGGATTATTGTGTTCTTCCCTTCGCCCTCATCTTAGCCAGGAAACACTTACATGAAGGACTACACAGAGGAGGGGAAGAAACTGTATTTTGAAGAATTTTCCAGATAATACAGTCTTGACTGCATGCCATTTCTCCTTCTTTTACTTTCCTTTTTATTTTCAAGGCCAAACACTGAAGGTTTCTTTTTTCTGGACCAAATTTTCCACCCTCCCTCTGCTTCTGGCTTCCAGCTTAGTGCCCCATTCAATTTCTACGACACAAACATACACTGGGTTTGCCTGGACATGATCTCTGTGTGCGTGAGCTGGGGTGCTGAGGGATTCTTATCAAGTGTTCAGAAAGTACCTTCCCTCTTCTGTCTGTCTGAAGGCTTATGCTTCTCTAATCTGACAGAAAGGGAGCTTCTATTTTAGCCAAATGATATTGATAACCAGTGAGAAGGTGATGTTTCAATAAATACTCAGAAATAAGGATGCAATATTTGTAAATAATTTACATTAATGTTGCGAGTTGAGTTTTGCACTGAGAATTAAAAACATTGCTACCAGTAACAAACATATTTCATGCCAAAGAGTGGAATAAGGTTCTGGGTGCCATTGAGATAATAGGATGAACCAGTTGGGGACTACAAGAAAGCAAAGGAGGGTATTTTTAGAGGGCATGTAAGAAGAGGACAAGAGTTAATAGCTCAAAACTGGAAGAGGAGAGATTTAGGTTAGACGTTAGGAGGAAATTCTTCACTATTGGGGTGGTGAGACACTGGCACAGGCTGCCCATAGAAGCTGTGGAAGCCCCATCACTGGAAGTGTTCATGGCCAGGTTGGATGGGGCTCTGAGCAGCCTGGTCTAGTGGGATGTATCCCTGCCTATTCAGGGGGGTTGGAACTAGGTCCCTTCCAACCTAAAGCATTTAATGATTCTATGATAATTCTATGATTCGTGCATCCGTGTGATGTTCCATTAACTTAGATTAGATTCTGCAAAGCTGGGGGTTTATTTCTTTGTGAAACAGCTTGTTGAGTGAAGTTGTTTCCAGCTCTTAATACAGTTTTTTTACCGGAGAGCACCAACTGATTTAGCTAGTACAACATTTCAGTGTAATTTTTAAAGCTTTTTGTGAATACTATTTCAATTTTAGTAGTCTCATTGTGTTAAAAAAAAAGAACAACAAACTGCTAAAATACATTTTAAGAAATTGAACTAAAATTATGAGCTTTTAATTTAAGTATAAAATATATGTCATATATTGTTCCTACAAAAAGGGAGTTACTGCTTGGTTAGTTGCTTCTGTTCTACTACTAAACCAGAGGAAAAAAGAGAGCATTTCTTCTTTGTGCTGCAGAAGTACTGCATTGTTACCACAAACTTCCTTGATCCCTGTAGGGTCCTGCAAATTCTGCAAATTCCTCACTGCAGGATAACTGTTCTTCCAGAAGCCTGTATGCTGCAATACGTTCCTCTTTATCAGAAGCAGACTGATGCTCCACTTGTGTGGATGTGTGTGAGCTCTTGATCTTTACATGTACATGGGGTTCCACATATGTGTTTTGCTTTTACATTTTTACTAAATGACGGACTGTCTGAAAACACATATAGCCGTGCAAGTGTAATGGTTCCTAAGAGTGTTGTAGTTTTGAGTGCATTCTTCACAAGGTCTTTGTACAGAATTACAGGAAATGAAAATGTGAACATTACTTAGCCAGTATATTTATCCATCCGTAATATTCATTTAATATGAATATTAAAATCTTAGAGATTATTATTTCCCCAGCAACATTGCCCAACTGTATTCGATTAATATGCTATTTTCTGTGTCTCTTTTTGTTAAATTTTTACATAATCGAACCATGAAGTCTGTGTATTTTGGTTTTATAAATGTTATGGTTCTCCCTCATTTCATAGTTGTAGAGTGGTGGACTAGTCCATAAGACTTCAAGAGTCTAATCATTTTCCTTTTAGTGAAAATAATGAGAAATTTCTCATCAACTTCAAATTAAATAATACTTGGTCTTTGGACAGCTATAAACCATAAAAATAGACAAATTTGTCTCTTCAAACTTATGTCTTCAATTTTATCTTCTGCAGTTTGCAATTAATGAAATATATTTATTACTTTTGCAAGTAACAGTAACCAATATAATTACAGCTTTCCGTAAGTTCAGTAAATACTTAATTAAAAATAGGCTTTTCCAATAGGTGTTGGTAAGGTTTCAAATCCTGTATTAAAGGCTGAAATACTAATTATAAAATAAATAAGAACTTCATTTTTTTAGATTTATTTACCTCTGGTGAGTAATTCAAATTCAGAAAAAGGATTTACCATAATGTACAGATTGATCTTGTAATGCATGCTCAGATTTTCAGACATGGAATTATTAAAGACGGCTGCATTGTACATATTGCTGGACCTAGTACCTCACATTTTCAGTTCTAGCCTGCAAATACAAATTGTATTGATTGCAATAAATCATAACCACATTTAGTCTTTGTTAAATATTATTATTCTTATAGCATTTTAGATTGTAAGTTTGTTACTGTGCTATTTTCTGGACGTACACTGAAAATTGTGTGCTTTATATAGTTTCAATGCTGAAAAATTTCCAAATACATCCAGAAGAATTATTTTCTTGCATTTTATATTGTATGAATTCAGGAATCCATTCAGAAGATAATACTTCTGTGGGACTTGATGATTATCCCCTGAGCCTTATTAAAGGATTACAACCTTAGACTGTTAGTGGGTTTTGTGTTTGTTCCCGCACCCCACCCAGCAGGAGCTATTTTCATAAAGTTCTCAACAAAGCTACAGAGTTTTGGGGTTTTCATAGTACATGTTCTTTTGGCTTGTGGGGAGAGATAATAGTGGGTGAAACGTTTGGTAGGGTTTTTTTACAATGAAGAAAGGCTCTATTTCTTTGTCGTACAATCCCCCTAAGTTTTACTTCTGTCAAGAGTGATTTTTTTTTTCTTTTGCAAATTGAGTTTCAAACAAACATGTAAATTAATGGTACATTTATGAGAAATGAGTGCATATAAGAGGCATCTTTCTGCCGTTCATCTAGCTAGTGAAAGAATGAACTTAACACTTAGGATATTACCAAAAAGAGTAAATAGATGATTTTAAAACATTTCATTTTTCTATCCATCTGCTAATGGATACAATTAGAGAGGAAAATTGGTGCTGGCTGTTATAGTGGGGACTGAGACAATTGTAACCGTAACTACCAACTGATACATACACAATTTGTGGAAATACTCACTTTTGGGGTCTGATGTTTTCCCAGGCTTAGTCCTTGTTGAGGAATTATTTATTTATTGTAGAAGCTTACACGAAATGTGTATGGTTTCAAAGGGCTGGGAGCACCCCTGGAGTGCTGCACAGGCTTTGATGTTGCAAAGGCAGCTGAGTCAATTCAGAGCTGGATTGTGCCCCCTCATCCCACCGCCAGACCCTGTGTGGCCAGCCAGCCTCCTTTGTAGCTACTGGCTAGTGGATTTTCTTTCAGAATAGGGGTCCAGAAAGAAAAGTTAAACTTTCAGACTGCTCTCTGAGCTCTGAATGTTAATGCTGTGATTTTTCCCTGTCTCTGAGACCTGTGCGTGCATCCAGTGTGCTTGAGCAAATCCAAGCACAGCCTGTCGGGAAGGCCATGGCAGTGGTGGTGATCTGGACAAAGGAAAACGTAAAGATGACGTTCCATGCTGAAGCTTTCCTTTGATGATACCGCTGAGATGTACTGTGCTCTTACCCTGTCCTGCTCTCAAATGCACTGGTGATAATACATGCAGCTGGAATCTTAAAAGCAGTTTAAGAAAATCTCTATAGCATGTCAGCTTTTCATTTTCCTGGGTTCCTTTAATATGCACTCAACACAGAGAATAAAACATGCTGCTATTGGACATCAGGCAAGGAGGGTGCTCAGAATTTGAATTTCCTGATTTGATGGTTAGGCATGTGCAGATTTGCTTCAAATATTAATTTAATGCATCAGTTCTTTCTATAGGAAGATGTATCATACAAATGAGTTTTCATTAGAATGGCAGCAAATAAGCCCTTTCAGGGGAAATGTTTGAGGAATTGAGAATGAAAGTAGCCTGTTAAATCATATTACCTAAAATATGTGAAATAGCTGATTGCAACTATTTAAATTTTGTGTCTTCTATCTAACACACCCCCTATTGCATTTTTAAGATAAAAACTTCTCAATCCTAATGATTGTAATCTTTAAAATCTTAGATTCTAGCTTGACAAAAACAGTGTAGCTTCTGTCTTTTTTAGTTGAATCTGATTTATTTTAGATAAACCAGGACTAAAGTCTCTCGACAATTGTCTTTCTTCTATTAGCTGCATCTGATTTGTGCCAATAAACAATTTCAGAGAGCTCTGTCAGATCAACTAAGGTGTATTGCTTCTGTCATGAGGCTGTTCTGAGGTTGATGTGAAGAGATTGATGTTTCACTGTAGTGCATTCTTTAATTTGTTGATCTTATTACAAGCAGTTGTGTGGTTTCACAACTGCACAGTTTTTTAATTCATTAAAACAAATATTTGCAAAACGAGTAATATCAAAATCATGACACTGCTCTGTACATGAGAGATTGCAAAGTGCTTTATGCTCTTGAGTTAGTCCCATTTTAAGACCCTGATCATGGCAACAACTAAAAGAGTAAAATACGGCAAATTCTTTGTATAGTATACTCAGAAGTTTTTGATGTCTGAAAAAGTAAAGGTCATATTTATATGCTATAATTCTTTTTTTTTTCCTGAAATATGGAAGATAAGTTTTACTTTGAGTGAAAATGCAACAAGTTGGTTATTAATTTCCTTGTCTCCTCAAATACAGATCTGCAGACTTCAGCGTCACCTATCAACAGGAAAATACCAGCAGAATCTTTTTTCAAACCAGCCTGTGATGTTTGTATCCCCAACCAGTCAGCCACCCTGCAAGAAGCTAACTGAACTTATCCAACTGTCAGGAGGGAAAATATGTAAAACCTTACGTCAGGCAAAAATCTGTATAGGAAAACAACCAGGAAAGAAGTACCAGGAAATAAAATGTTTATCAGAAAAATGGATATTAGGTAAGAAAGAAACTAAATTTCAACGCATATAAAATATTGTGGATTATGTATTCCAAAACTGACTGGAAATTGTTCATTAATCTGAGGTTATGGAAGGAAGATAATAGAACAGACTGCTACAGTTAGGCTTTCAGGAAGATTATCTCCATGGTGAGGACTTTCTCTAACTACTAAGACTGTTTTATGATTATCCTGGTACTCAACATTGTAATTTTACCAAGAACAAATTTTATCCAAAGGTTTTTTAATTTATCTTTTGTATGATTGTTTTATTTAGAACAAACTAAATAATGGGGGAACTCTGATAGAATAACTGCTTTCTAAAGTGGCATGAATTTTAATTCTAGGTGTAGTAAGAAATATTTTTAACTAGTATAAACTGCCACAGCACTACTGAAATACAGTAACTGGCACCCCCTGATAAGCTGTCCTGAGTTATATGTAGTGCATCTGAAAAACTATTTTCTTCAATCTCTATTTCACTTGCAAAAAAAATATTTTTTAAATCTGCTGTTAAGTTTCTAAGTGTTATTAGTCATTGTTTTGCTATTATGGACACCACAGTTCTGATGGCTATCTGTTTGCAGGGAATCAGCTGTAAAATTGAAACATCCTCACCTCAAAGAAAAGCTTTTGGATAACCCTTTGTAGGATTCACAGCTTTCAGTCTGACACTCGCTCTTTTTCAGACAAGAGTATTTTTCAAAAAGGGACTTTTTGCATACTAGAAAAAATAAGATTAAATTTTCATCATACACAATGTCAAACTCCTCTAGATAAGTGCCTCACTCAGACTCTAGCAATAAATGTACTACATGAATTCATGTTATCTGAGACCAGACAAGCAAATTTTAATCTCTTGACTGTTAGTTAATGCTATCAGATCATAATGATGTAAAAGCTGAAAGAAAATGCCACTAAAGAAGAAAGGAGAAGTGAGGCATAAGGGAAAAATACAACTCGAAATGCAAATGTTATTTGCCATTTTCTTAAAGTATAAGATAAAATTGTGAAGATTTAAGAGAGAGACACAAGAAGAAATAATTGTTTATTGTGCCTTTCCCTGGCTTCAGTGAAGACTTAAAAGAGCAAGTGTGGCAAAAAAAGTGACCAGATGAGGAAACCAGACATTTGTGCAAGTCTAAAAATATAAACACAAAAGCTTCACATAGCTGTACTGCACTCATGAATTCTAGATGAAAAAAAGGTAATGATCAAAAAAGGCCTGAAACTCATTTTGCATGGCTCACTATTTTACTGGTCTCATGGAGTTCTGCCTCACCCCAGGTCCAGCACCTCACAAGCTACTTGCAGCTGGACAGGCCACACTCAGCTGAAGGAATTGTGTATCTGGCAATAAGAAAGAGTATTCTGAATTCTCTGTGCCCTTTACAAATGTCTTAGTTCTCTTTTGCAGTCTGATGATGTCTTTCCTAATTATTATGTCCCACTCATAAGGCAAAATGGATTTTAAATTATGAATCATCAAAACTCAGATAAAATAAGTATTTCTATATTACAATTTAATTAACTGTGTATGTAGTAGTATGAACAGTGTCACTTATAAATTGCCATCTTAATCAAATAAATCAAATCAGATCTGAGGCTTTGTCTAATCTTTGACATTTTACTGTTTCAACCCAGCTGGTTTGTGGCTGTCTGCTTTCTGCTGTTACTGCCAGCTGCCAATGAATTCATTCAAGGTTGACCACAATAAAAAGCACATGGGTAGATAATGCAGCACCTTTTTTAAACTGAAGTAAATAGTAAGTGCTTGTGGTATTGTCATTTGACTGTTTGTGTTTATCTTTTCTCTCTGTGTTCTCAGCTCCACCAAACTGTTTCATAGCAGCAACTGCACTGAAGTACATTGTTGCCTTATGGTATGTTTCTTGTGCATCTTATCTAAAATAATCCTGGTTTTTATTTCTTTTAGATTCAATCAGTCAGCATACAATATGTCCCATGGAAGACTACATTTTTCAGCTGTGAGCTAACTCAAGAGCTTCCATATGGTTGTAAGGAAGCAAGCGTAGTTTGGATTCAACAAAACCCTAAGCTGTGAAAAAAATTTCTAAGAAAGCACAGTAACATATTTATAAATACAGGGGAACGTTTTGCACATTTTTTATTATTTGTGTAAGTGTTCATCTCTTGAAACCATTAGGTTTTTTTAATAAAGTACTTCCCTAATAAAAATCATCTTGCTTTTATTTATTTGTTGAAGACCTTTGGACCTAAAAGTTGTATGAATCATTACTCACCGGGAGGAAGTGGAAAGACACTTTCTAATCTCTGAGCGAAGCTGATCATGTTACAATACAATTAAAAGATGTGCATTCTGTGTGGGTGAGCCTGCCTGAGCTAGATCAGCTGTGTTCAGCAGAGGCTGTGCTACCAATGCAGATGCATGGATCCTGCAGGCTCCTCCAGTCCAGGTGCCTCTGCAGACAGCTGAGGCCCCATATTGCCACATCTTCATGACCATTGCCACATTGCTTCATGACCATACTGACACATTGCTTCATGACCATATCCATTGTGTCTTTGGATAAAGATAAGGTTGCCCATCATGCTCAGCTCACACCTTCTCATGTAAACTTGCACTTCTACATTGAGTTTTTCAACAGTAATTGAAACTCAGTAATTATGTTGAGATGCATCATTAAGGTATTACTTTATTTCAATGCCTTTAACTGAATGTCAAACTGTGTCTACCTTATATCTAGGCTGAAACCATACACAGTTCTTGAGCCTGAGCCAAATGAATTAAGACAACACATCATTCAAGTGCTAAAATCTGTTGAAAATGAGACATATCGTTAAATCCTTTAGGTAGGCTTGAAAAATGTATGCAAATGTTTTAAATGTTAAACTTCTCTCCAATCTGTGGTTTTGCTCTTGGCAGCTACAAAGTAAGTGTAAGTGTAACACTTGTTTATCTAGCCATGTACAACCTCCTTCAAATATTTGCAAGGTCCATCTACATGATATATCATAATCATAGAGAGTGATGTATTATCAAGTAACTTAATGGCAGCATGTAACTCATACCTTCCAAACTCAGTGCTCCCCTCAAAGTACTGTCAGTGTGAGACAACAGAAGCCCTGTACTAAAAATAATTATTTCAGTTTATTACTGTGGAACAATCAAGGTACCATGGTTTATAAATGTTGCCATTCTATTGCATTGTTTTAGCTTCTTGGGCTTTTTAAGGGACAATATCTGTAAACTTGAGGATTACACAAATTTTTTCTTCAAAACAAGTTCAGCAGTATCTGCGTGGCAGGCATTTTCAGGCACAAATGGCATTTTTACATGGTGCTCTCTAAAAGGTTATATTTCTTAATTACAAGTTATGATGATTTTGTGGCAAATTAAACTGACTTTATTTTCAGAAATACTGAGCACCTGTAACTCAAAAGTTTAAGATCTTGTTTTCAAGTATCTAAGTGCTAGATAGCTGGTTTTAGAATATAAACTACAAAACATAATCTACTGAGGTCTTTTCCTTGCTTAGTTGTCTGGCATGCCCATTTTTAACAGCATTTAGCTAGGAAAAACAAGTTTGATACAAAAATTGGTAATCAAGTCTCTCTAGAAATTGTATTGTTTATAATCAAAACTATTTACTTACGTACTGCAGAGCACTGGTAAAATGGTATCACTCTTCACCCTTGACCTTATGAGCTCCTTTAAGAAACTAGATGCCAAGTACTATAGACTAAAATATAAATACTTCAATAGGTTGTGACATGTGAACATATGGTTCCCAGTAAATAACAGAATAATTTGTTTGAATTATATTGCTTAACTTTGAATATTACAACCTCCTAGTTTATTTTGTAGGCATTTCCTAAGTCTACTACCCATAAAAATCTGTCACTATTAATTTATATAATAGAACATTCCAAATCAGCTTTCTCATAAATCTTCTTAAGATTAATCTCAGCTATTTAAATTGTAAATTCTTGGATCAACTTGTTGGTCTTTATCAGTCACACGTGTAATGGACTTGACAATGAAAAGTCTAATACGCTTTGTTCTAAATTAAAAATGTTTTAGTCAATCTGCCAATTTAGATGATGCCATCTTAAATTATACGGTTTGATAGAAATCCCTGTCTCCTGGCTGGTTTTGCAAACTTCGTAGCACACAGGTAAATATAGCCAGCAGGAAATTGAAAGACTAGGTTTTTTTGATGTAGCAAACACAGGAGACGTTAGAATTAAATCCAAAGACCAGCATGTTGTACAGGCAGTAACAATTAGATACTGCTTCATGTTCAGAGTCTGGAGTCTTTTGCACAAACAGTTTCTGACTGACATACCTTAGTGTGCGTTCCCAACCACTTCAGCATGGAAAGGAAGGTGAGTTTCTAGCCAAGGCCTCAACAGGGAAAAGTACCAAGTCCGGTCTTCTTCTCAGTAAACCAACATGGGAGAAAGAATGCTGAAAACTTGTCAAATTAGTCATTTGTTGGGAGAAATCCACCAACCAAAAAAAATTTTACTTGATACCAAGGCCCTAAGGACAGTAGCACACAGAAGAAAAGGCAGAACACCCAACAACATGAAGTATCAGTGATTCATGGGTAGTTCCAAGTTGATCAATGCTAAGATCTTTGTAACCTGCAGTGCTTAATGGACACCACCATAGTACAGCACAGTCACATGCTTTCTTCTCTACAAAATGGTACTATGCTCAACTCACCAGGAACACACTTTTTTATTATTTTCCCTTTCTTTCTCTGTATCATTTTTTCGTGGAGGAGAGGTTGTTTTACCCTTACCCGTTATCTCCTGCATGAATATTTTTGTCATTCATTTGTGAAAATGATGTAGCTTAGCTGATGTCCCACCTTCTCAGAGTGCTCCTGCACTCCTGCTAAAGACTGTCTAACAAAACCACATTAGCATGATTAAAGATCTTACTAAGTTAGCTTAATTTGACTAGGAATCTGATTAAACCAAAATAAATTGAAAAGCTAAAATAGATATTATTTCTTCCTGAGATTCTCATTAGTTGATCTAATTTTTAAAACCAGTTACAGCACATGTCCTGTTTTAACTTATTTTACTTGCATTGGTCGTATAGTTGATATCACTTGGATGCACAGACCTAAGATATCCATCCCCTCCTTCATCCTCCAGAGAGAAGAGCTTTTACCACACTTTGCATAATTTACTGGGGACTTGCATAGGCAAATCCAGAAATACTGAGGACAAACACAGGCATGACCTTGAAGAATGTATTGCTTAAAATGCGTCAGAATGGCAGCAAAATTAGTATCCTCTTCAAACAGCATATCCTTAAAAAGAAATCAGGATCTAAACCAATTTATTCATAGTTAGTGACTAAATGTGAAGTTGGCTAAGAAAGTGCTTGAAAGCAAGATTGCCAGAAATTCGTAAAGTGGGTGGAGTATACATCTCTTTTTTCCACTTTCTCTTCTTTGTAATCAGTTTTAGATTGCAACTGCATTAGGGCTGTGTGTATCTAGTAAGTAAAAAATATTCAGTGATCCTACAGTATGAGCCACCTGGTATTGACTTACTGATCTACAGATTTGTTGAGATGTTTTTATGTTTCTGGTTATTTTCCTGACTCAAGTATTGCCAACTTTTTGGAGATTGTTATTTTTTAAATAAAAATAACTAGTAAAAACTACCGCATCAGTGCAATAAACTTTTGTTATCTTAATTAATCTGTATAGAATGTAATTTAGGCACAACTGCATTATGTCATGGAGTGTTATCAGCACATTCAGCTCTAGGAAGCTGGTAGCACAGACATGCATGTTTTGGTGAAACCTATCACCACCTCAGGGACTATAAAGCAAAGGTGCTCCTCCAAAGCAACACAAAAGCCTGGAAAAAAGAATATTTGCTCAGACTGAAAACTGGAAAGCATGAAAAAGTCTGTGTCTGTGCCAGCAATCTGGCTTCTTTAATGATAGATCTCATAACAAAAAGGCAAATGGCTGTACTCCTGTTGCATTAAGCAGAATTGTATTTCTGATCTCCTTTTATTGCTGTATTTCAGAATGAGCTCTTTGCATGGTATGACCAAACAGTGGGTCCTGAAAGAGCATCACCTTTACTACAGCATCATGCAGCAGTTGACAATACGGTGGTTTAAAGCTGCCAATAGAAAACAACTAACAGCTGGTATTGAGGTTAGCAGCACAGGTGTCTGCTGAGGGCTTTTGCTGGGAGCTGGCAAAGCAGAGTTTTCTTTCTGTTGATAAAAATGTGAAACAACCCTCTAAGCACTTGGGAGCTGCCCAAATTCCTGTGCCGGGCTGAGGTGTTGATAAGTAACAGCTAGATGTAATGTAGGACTGCAAGTTCCTTGGAACTGTTGGAGTCAGCATCCTTCAGAAGGTAATTTGTGGTGCAGTGCTGGAGCCACAGCCCTCCCAGCCTGCCAGCATGCCCATACCTCCCTCCCTCTGGGAATCCTGAGGTTGTGCTAGCTGAGCCTTCCTACAACTTCTTCCATGCCAGCTTGTGTCGTTTGCCTGGTAGCTTCTGTTACCTGGAAAACAACTGAACTATCACTAGAGACAGAACTGCACTGAGGTGTTTATTTTCCCAGTAGGTTTATCAATGCCTAGATTGTCCTTCATGTTGTTCTTAGCCAGCTTAAAAAAAAATAATTAAAAAATTGCATGTGAAGTTGTGAAAGGATTGGTACTGCCAGTCCAGGTGGGTTTGGGGTTTGTTTTTTCCACCTTCATGACATTATAGAACTATAAAGTTAGGGCTTTTAAGAGAGAGAAAAAGAGGTCTTTAGGAAGGAGTGTGCAGAGGGATGTGGTTTCACAATATTATTGCTGTGATGTGATCTTTTAATAACAGGTAAAGCAGCTGAAGCTGAAACTTGGAAATTCTTATCTACGTGATTACTTTCTGCAGCACATAGGTCTCTCTTAAGATTCTGTTTTTCAAACCTTTGGATAATTAAGGAAATATACTTTAAAATTCAC